GCATACACAGCCGTTCTATTCTCCCATGATTGATTTCTCCAAGGAGTGTTTCTACCTAATGTAAATGTTCAGCTCATATGCCTGTCTTTTGTTTGGCTGGAAGCCACAGGAGTGGGTTCAATTCCAGACCTGAAGGGTAGGTAGGGGCCAAAGTCTCAGGGGTTCCATCAGACTCTATCAGACCAGCAAACCTGGTCTCTCTCTCTTTTTTTTTTTTTCAACTGTTTTGAGTTTTAGTTCACATTGTTCTCCCTTTCTATCCAGGATCTCCTGCATAGCTCCCCCTCCAAGTGGCTGACAGTGGTAAGTGGGTACCATCTAATTCATCTGGTCTCACAGTCATATAGGCTGATGATATCATGGTATACAAGTCACTTGGACTAATTGTTTCCATGTGCCTTTGGTTTTCTTCATTCTTCTTTGTTCTGGAAGAGGAGAGACCCATCGTTGCATCTAGATGGCTGCTTGCAAACTTTGAAGATCTCAGTTGCTACTCACCAAAGTAGGATATAGAACAATGTTTTTGTGTAGTATGTTATGCCCATTGAGCTGGATGTCCCCTGAGACCATGGTCCTGAGCCCACAGGTCCAACTTCTTACTCTCTCTAGGTATCTGGCTGTGGCCAAGAAGTGACTACAACCTTGTCCTTTGTCAGCTCTAATATATACCTGGGAATTCTTATAGAACATACCAATACACTTGTAGAAACACTGTCTTCCAACCCTATACATGGTCATGGGAACACTCCCCCCTGCATAGACATACCTAATAGTTCAGCCTGCCCACCCATCTATCAACCCGTATATCAATGTTTGCCTTCACTGACAGGGCAAACATGTGCGAAAGGGTTCATCTTTGTTGTCTGTACCTCTCATGCATCTCTCTCTGTCTTTCTCTTCCTCAATGCCACTGTGTTGATCTCTCAGTAAAATCCTTTTTACTCAGAAAATTCATCTGCAGGAATTTATTCTACTGAAATATATACCTCTCCTAAAACAGATTAACAAGGATATTCACTGCATGGCCATACATAATTGAGAAAATGAGAAATGATTTCATTGTTGTCAGTAGGGAACTGGTTAAATGAATCAGAGTATAATCTATACAGTGTTTAAAAGTTAATTATTTATAAATTTTTAAGGTCTTTGGAAATTGAATATTTTAAACTTAAGACTAATGTTGTCAAAACATATTTCTTGACAGAGAGAGACTGTCATGATATAATGGTAAATAAATAATGTAGGTGATAAGCAGAAGGCTGTTGTTGTTGTTGTTATGTGCCGTGGAGTCGGACTCAACTCATAGCGACCCCTCCTTGGGTTCTGAGGCAGCATCACTACGGAAGTAGATTGCCCAACCTTCCTTCTGAAAGCAGAAGGTGGAGTCCCATTTTTTTCTTTAGATAAAGCATATATGCATAAAATAAAATATCAAAGAGTTAGATATCAAAATGTTAATCGTGTCTTCTACATGGTAACATATGAGCAGCTTATTTTAACTTTACTCCCTTTGATTACCTTCTGGTTTTTCTACAATAAACATGTCTTCTATAAGGAAAAAAAAATCATTTCACAAAAAAATAAGTCAGTGGGAACAGAGAATTACTTTATAGCACATTTTGCTATAATACATTATTCCATAACACAAAATATATTTTGCTTGACTCTATAGGACAAGTGTACAGTAAGCAGTAATAATAATAACTTATTATTATTGTTATTGTTAAAAGGGGTCCTGGTGGCACAGTGGTTATCTCTTCGGCCACCAACAGAAAGGTTGGCAGTTTGAACCCACTAGCTGCTCCATTGGAGAAAGATGAGGCAATCTGCTTCCATAAAGATTTATAGCCTTGGAAACCCTATGGGGCAGTTCTACTCTGTCCTATACAGTTGCTATGAGTTGGAATTGACTCGATGGAAATTTTGTTGTTGTTGTTAAAAGTATACAATAAGTAATAATGATAATAATTACTTATTTTATACTTTTTCCTGTAGAGACAAGCAATAAAAGTGTATTTTGTGTGATGGAATAAGGTACACTAGCAAAGAGTGTTAGGCACTGAGCAAAACACTTGGCAAATATTATTTGATATAATCCTATGGCATCCATACTCCTCCTTTCACAGCCCTAACCTTTCCACTTACTGTGATCACTTTTCGTGGTAAGCCCCACATCACATAAACAGTGCCTTGCACAAAGCAGAAACTCAATGAATGCTTGCTGCAGGGACTAAGGAAGGCAATCATTTCAAGAGTGGCAACAACTTGAGCAAAGGCAAGGCAGCAGGCGGCCTGTGACCCTGGCATTCTCAACCTTGCTTCTCTCTTCTGAGCATTCTATGCATCTGGAATCCCCATCCATGCCCCAAGATACTCATGAACAACATTTCTCTCTGCTCTTGCCTTGGGCATACACCTCACTCTTGTCTGCACATAGGTGAGTCCTCCCTAATCCATCTGCTTGGCACTCAGCACCTCCATTTATTATCTTACAAGTAGACTTCATTTTAAGGATTAGATGAAGAGAATTCCTAAAGGCTGAAGATGAAGACCATTTCTGATAGTGTTTAATTGGTTAGAGCTTTACAAAGGAAAAAAAAAAAAAATCACAAACTTCCTTGGTCCCCAGATTCTCCGAGTTAATGATTTGTTAAAAACAAAATGCTCACCCATTAGAACAATTCTGAATTCTTTCACAGAGTGAAGAAGAATTTTGTAATGTGATTAATTGCTTTTAAATTTGTCTGAAGCTATTTGATTTGTTTAGTCTGGATTTTGGAATATTATGTTTCTTAAAATAGGTCATAGGTACCCATCAAATATCTGTTGCTTTGTAAATATTCTAATTGTGTGCATTTCACACACACACACACACACACACACACCCTGTACACTGGGGATGGGCTGAGCAAGCAGCCACCAGCAGGCGTGGAGACACATGCATTTGTGAACGTTCTCTTCCTAGAAGGTGAGCAGTCCCAGAGTGAGGCTGGGCCCTTCTCCTTCTGTTCTACATCCTACTGCATCCATGTGGGGCTTTTCACTCAGTGGGTGCACAACAGCTGTTGTACAATTTACTGTGTAGCTTGAGAGTTGAGAGAACAGTGATTACAAAAAAAGATAAAAATTCACCAATTTGCCATCTCTTCCACTAAAATAATCTCTCCACATAGAACATAACCGTGACTACAAGCATGTACTTCCTAAGAATTATTAAAGTTTTCTTTCAAAACTTAACGGATGCATTTTGAAACTTGAGAAGAGGGATGTTTAGTTTAACACTTACCGCCTTTGAGTGTTAAATCCATTAAGAGGATTCTCTCCGAGTTCAGACACTAATGATGAAACCATCTGTAAAACAAAGTCAGTGGCAGGTTAACTCACACTGAAAACAGGATTACATCAGTCCTACTTTTCTTGGTGTGAGAGATATTTCTGTTGCGATTCCCTCCCCCAGTCCTCTCTGTGTGATGTATTTTGTCAGAATGAAATGAAAGCAGTGCCAAATCACAATTACTAGTAACTGGGATTTTGTGTTTAAAATCTACCATCTTGCATTCCTACTTAGGCAAATGACTAATAGGCAGATCATTAATTTCCTAGTCATTCAAATCACACCTACTAAAAAATAAAAACATTTTAGAGTCAGTTTCTTTCATCTTTCTTAAGTTAGTACTTTGTGTGTAAACACAGTTCTCATATATAAAGCGTTCGAAATATCAGAATGGTGAACAAAACATTAAAAATCTGTACCAATTTTTGGAAGAGTTATCCTAAATTAAAATCAAGATCCTAAATTAAAATGTCTTGAATTGGGCTAAAATTTAAGGAAGAAGAGAACACAGCTTTAACATTAAACCCAAAAAAACCAAACCCACCACCAACTCATACGTAGTCATCCTATAGGACAGAGTAGAACTGCTCCGTAGGGTTTCTGAGGCTGTAAATCTTTATGGAAGCAGACTGCTGTATCTTTCACCTACAGAGTGACTAGGTAGCTCAAACCCCAGCTTTTTTGGTTGGCAGCTAAGCACTTTAACCACTGAGATACCAGGGCTCCTAGTAGATTTAACATCAAGATGTAAATTTATAATATTATTTATCAGGTTGTTACTTATTGAAATTTTTGCTTTCCTTTAACATGAAATTCCAATCTGGTTATTTCAAATGTAAGAACTGTCTGATGCTACAAAGCTGAGCTTACACTGGTGAGAAGAAGCTCTTCTCCCAGAAATCCTTGAGTGAATAAAGGAGATGTGTTATAAGAAAGAAAGAGAGGTTGGTTGGTTGATTTAGTATAACCTCTCCTGGTTTCCTTCTTTTTTCTCATAATGTTCCATCTCACGTTACTTCCTTATATGGCCATAAACTAGCCCAAGGTAAGAAGAAATAAACACAGAGAAGTCAAACATCTTTCCTAGAGGAGTGAACTGTTTCCATTTACCCTTTGGGGTGATGGTATGTTCAGTAAAGAAAATTTCAGTGCTAAAACATTAGAAATACTCACATTTGTAAGCAAACCAGGGTAGTAATCTGTAGGTGCATACCCGAGACGTTGAGAAAAAAGGCTGACTTCTTTTATATTGAATCTAAATGCCGAAAGTATAAAAGATAACAGACTCTAAAAAACATAAACAGAGAAAAATTTAACTTGTTAGTAGTGAACGAAAGTGTTTATTATATAGTAAGTCCAATGCACAGCATCTGGGTCATTTGTAAATGGGGTGGGGTCATTAAAGCCAGGAATTTCCATTCTGTCCATGTACTCAGTTCACTGTGATTCAGGGTGTAAAGCAAAAATAAGTCCACACTAAAATTGTTACATTAAAACTAACTAAATCAACTTAAACAAATGTTAACAGTGAAACAAAAATATATAATGAATGAACAGCATAGCACTTCAATCTATCTATGACTGGGCTTTTTATTGTTTTAATACTCAGAAAAAGATTTTTTTTCAGACTAGATAGATGAGAATTTAATATAAGAAAGATAAAAAAGATGTTACAAATCACTAAGGAAAAGAAAAATTATACAATAAGTGGTGCTGAGGACTATTTGGAAAAATTTAGATCCTTATCTTGTATCATTCACCAAAATATACTCGAGTTTAATGTTAAGAAAAGAGATCAATGTACAAATGAAATAGGACCACTATGGAAAATGGTACAAGACTTCCTCAAAAAGCTAGAAATAGAAATACCATATGACCAGCAACCCCACTCTTAGGTATATATCCTAGAGAAAGAAGAGCCATGATGCAAATAGACATATGCACACCCATGTTCACTGCAGCATTAGTCACAACAGCAAAAAGACAGACACCACCAAAAGGTCCCTCAGCGGATGAATGGATAAACAAACTGTGGTACACGTACAATGGAACACTACCCACTGTTAAAGAATAATGACGAAGCTGTGAACCATCTTATAACATGGATGAACCTGGTGGGCATTCCCAACAAACCAAACCAAACTGTCATCGAGTAGATTCTGACTCCCAACCACTTTATAGGAGGACAGAATAGAACTGCCCTATAGGTTTTCCATGGCTAGAAATCCTTACTGAGGCAGACTGCCTCATCTTTCTCCCGTGCAGCAGCTGGTGGGTTTGAACAAGCAACCTTTTGGTCAGCAGTCAAATGTTTTAACGACTGTACAACCAGAGCTCCCTGGAAGGCACTACACTAAGTGAAATCAGTCAATCACAAAAGGACAAATATTGTATGAGACCATTACTGTAGAAGTCAAGAAAAAGTTTATACATAGAAAGAAACATTCTTTGATGGTTACCAGGGATGACAGGGTATGTGAGGGGAAACCACTAACTAGATAACACATGCTAACTTTGGTGAAAACCAAAACCAGACTCACTGCGATCGAGTCGATTTCAACTCATAGTGAGCCCTCCTTGGGATTCTGAGGTGGTATCACTAAGAAAATACATTGCCCAACCTTTCTTCCGAGGAATGGATGGTGGGGTTTGATTGCCATCCTTCTGGTTAGCAGTCAAATGCATTAGGCACTACGCCACCAGAGCTCCCAATTTTGGTGAAGGGAAAGGTAATATACAATATGGGGGAAGTCAGTATAAGACAACCAAGGCAAAAGAAGAACTAAAAGAACACAAGATTAAAAGTCAACAGCAGTAAATACAATATTGCAACAATGCTAGTAACAAACAATAATGCATGAGTGGATACACATGTAGTTATTTATGTAAGCTGATCATGGGTAGAAGGGCATATAGGAGTACACCCACTTGGATACAAAGAGTTGGCAGTGGATATTCCTACATGCATATTTGCACATGCTGCAAATATACCCATGCATATAATAGAGCACACAGAGGGCACAGTCATGAAAACCTCTTAGCCATACCAAACACTTCCCAGGACACATACTAGGTTTGAAGGCTAGGGATCATATTCTCAGGAGACATCTTGGTCAACTGGCATAACACAGTCCATAAAGACAATGTGCTGCATCCTAATTTGTTGAGGAGCAACTGGGATCTTGAAGGCTTATGAGTGGCCATCTATTGGTCAATACAACTGCAGAGCAAAGAAGAGTAAAGAAAACCAAAGACTCAAAGAAACAATTAGTCCAAAGGGCTAATGGACTACATGAACCACAGCCTCCACTAACCTGAGACCAGATGGACTACATGGTCCCTGGCTACCATCACTGACTGCTTGGACTGAGATCACAATCCACAAGTACTGGACAGAGTGGGAGAAAAGGGTAGAATGAAATTCAAATACATATAAAAGACCAGACTTTCTGGTCTGATAGATACTGGTGGAACCCCAAGACTATGCTCTTTAGACATCCTTCTAACTTAGACTGAAACCACACTCAGAGATCACTTTTCAGCCACATAAAAGGCAGGCCTATAGAGTGAACAATAACATCCAAGTCAACTATACATGACCAAAAGGGCAGTGTTTACCCAAAAGCAAAGTTAAGAAAGCAGGCAGGTGCAGGAAAACTGGATGAATGGAAATGGGAGGGACCCAAGGTGGAAATGGGGAGGGTGCCGACACCCTGTGGGAAACCAATGTCACAGAAGAGTCTGTGTATAAATTGCTGAATGGGAAACAAATCTGCTTTGTAAACTTTCACCTAAACTATAACAATATATATATATATTTAAAATGAAATGGAATAATAAGCAATAAAATTAATAATTTTTCAAGTGACTGAATGGGGAAAAACTTTGTAAACTGAAAATCAAGGGAGCAGATCATAAGGTAAAAGATTGAATGTTTTAAGTAAAAATAAAACAAAATTTTCCAAAAACAATAAAAGCACAAAGTAGGAAGTTTATTAACAACAAATAATACAGATCATATGTAATCAAATTAATGTACAAAATATCAGGTGACAAATAGGAAGAGCATAAAAAATTAATATGAACAGATAATTCATAACAAAGGAAATACAAATGCCTGAGAAACACATAGATAAATGTTCATCACCATTATCAAAAGGGAGCTCTGCTGGTGTAATGTCTAAAGCACTTGACTGCTAACCAGAAGGATGGCAATTCAAACCCACCAGCCACTCCTCAGAAGAAAGATTAGGCAACCTACTTCTGTAGAAATACCCCCAGAATCCAAGGAGGGGTTGTTATGAGTCAAATCAACTCGAACAGCAGTGAGTCTGGTTATTGATTATTTTCAGAAAGGGTAAACCAAAATACCAATATACCATTTTTCACCTATGGCATTAAACATGTTTTATGAATATGTAATGTTGCTTTGAGTTCTGTGAAACAAGTACCGTATGTGCCACTAGAGGCACAAAGGTCTACCTCTCAGAAGGAAGCCCTTCCATACAGCAGGGCAGCTGTAAACGGCACGAAGGCATCTGCCAAACAAACAAACAAAAACCAAACTTACTGCCATCAAGTTGTTTCCAACTCATAGTGACCCCCATTGGATTTCAGAGGCTGTAAATCTTTATGGAAGTAGATTGCCCCGTCTTCCTTCCAAGGAATGGCCAATAGGTTTGAACCACCAGACTTCTAGTTAGCAGTCAAATGCCTTAGACACTATGCCACCAGAGCTCCTAAGGCATCCATAGAGAGTAGGAATCGGTACAACACAGCCCTGAACATTCCCTTCTCCAAGCTTGGACTTCTGGGCCATATTTGCCTAGAGATTTGTAATCTGAACAAAGATGCCTTATAGATAGTAAAGGCCTGATAAAAGTAACTTGAAAATATGTATTAATTGTCTTAAAAGCATTTAGAACCTTTGCTATCTCTGAATACATTTAAGAAAATAAATCCAAAATGACTGCTGGAATTATGCTCAAAGATGTTCACTACAGTGTTATTTCTCATAGTGAAATATGTCTAATAATGGGAAAATAATATATAATCATTATATACAGTAACTTTTCTGCAGCCATTCAAATGTTTATAAAGAATTTATGACAGCATTTTAAATGGTTATATTATAGTGTTAAATGAAGAAAGGAAGATGCAAATTTTTATATACAGAAATGATTTCATCCATATAAAAATAATCCAAACATGGGAGTGGAAAAATAATGAAAGAAAACATCACAAATGTTAACAGTCTCTGGGTGGTGCTATAATGGGTATATGTTTTTTTTCTTTCTACCTTCATATGTTTTCCAGTGTCTTATATGTGAAGCTCTGGTAGCATAGTGCCTAAGGCATTTGACTGCTAACCAGAAGGCTGGCGGTTCAAACTCACCAGCCACTCCTCGGAAGGAAGGTTGGGCAATCTACTTCCATAGAGATACTGCCTCAGAAACCCAAGGAGGGGTCACTATGAGTTGGGGCTGACTCCACAGCACATAACAGCAACAGCATATGTGAAAGGGAAGGGAGGAAAAAAAAAAAAAAAAAACCCAAATCCACTACTTTTATAATCAGGGAAAAAAAAATTCTTTTTGAAAAAATGTTTTATTTTGAAGTATTTTATTTTATTTTTTTAATTGTGATCTGGGTGAAAGTTTACAGGGCAAAATCATTTTCTATACAGTAGCTCACATATGTATTTGATTTTTTAAAAGTAGCTTTGATGAGATATAATTAAAATACCATAAAATTTATCCTTTTAAAGCATATAACTCAGTGGTGTTTTCAAATATATTCACAAGAAAATAATCATTTTAAATTTCAAAAAGTCCTACACTGCATTTTGTGATAACACATTACAAGATCAAATTAATTTGTATATATGCATGTAAATGCATACAAACGAGTGTGTGTGTGTGTGTGTGTGTGTATAAGTTTATACACAAATACCTAGAGAAGACAGTCTAACCCCGGGTAGAATTTGGATTCTTGGCTCAGTCAAGGGCAGGATCCATTAGACCGGGAACAACAAATGTGGCACACATACCAATAATGTCTGTGGCAGAGATCACTAATCCATATCATGCAGTCTTATTTGAATCTCATCATAAAATACTTCACACATTCAAAAAGATATGAAGACTAATATGACAAGCTCTGTCCATCATCCAACTTAATCAATAAAGAATTACTAATATAGGTGAAAGCCTTTGTGTCTTCTCTCCTCCACCAAACGTTATGGCAGTCCTTGCCCCTAGCGGGAGCTCTACCCTCAAGCTGGTGTC